CTGTGGTGTAGCGGGAGTAGTCGTCAACGACCACCAAAAAGAAACGCTCACGCTCAGGGCCAGGGCGAGGAGAGGGGCCCCAGACGTCCAAGTGCAGCGTCTCAAAAGGCTCGGTGGCCGGACGAAGGGAGGAGGAGTGAGGGGTGGCACGCAGCCTACCCTCGACGCAAGGACCGCACGGTGGTGCAAGAGACGGCGGCAGCGACGGCAAGACACGCGGGAGACCTAAGACTAGACGCTGACTAGACATAGCACGCAGACGTGGAAGAGAAGGGTGTCCCATCCGGTGGTGCCACAGAACGGTGGGGTGGGCAAGCGACCGACAGGAGCAAGACGCAGCGACTGGACTGGACGCGACAACCTGAGGGGACGGAACCACCTGGTGAGACGCAGGGAGGAGACTAGGGGGAGGGACAGGAACTGGGAGGAGTGGCCGCTGCGACGGCGGCCGCTGTGGCTGCGGCTGCTGCCGCTGCTGCTGCTGCGGCTGCTGCTGCTGCTGCTGCTGCGGCTGCTGCTGCTGCTGCAGTCGCTGCTGAGCGCGCGGGCCAGTGTGAAGAGTGTAGAGACCGGAGCCCGGCTCAGCAGCAAAAGTGGCGAGGGGCTGGTAAGAGTCCCCGTCAACACACACCGCAGTCTCTCCAGAAGGCTCAAACCACACACCCACGTGCTGACTCACGAGGGGTCGCACGCCCACCAAGTTCCGGGAGAACGAGGGGACGTGAAACCCAGTGAGAGACCCAGAAGGAGCAGCCGGACACGGCAAGGTGGTAGTGTGACGCGCAGTGACTGGTCCCGAAGTGGGATCAGCCAGCGCCACAGAAACAGGCGCAGGAAGAGGCGTAAGTGTCGTGCTGTCACGAAAGAAGCAGTGAGAGGCTCCAGAGTCCAGCGTGAACGACAGCGAACCGTCCTCCGAGGTAGCCGCTGGACTAGAGTCTACACAAGAACCTACACTAGCAACAGGCAACTGAGCAAGGCTAGCACCTAAGCTAACAACACCAGAGTAAGCAGAGTCAGAAACACTAGAGTCAACAACAGCATACATAGCATGGGGAGTACCAATCAGATCAACTAACTGCTCAGCAGACATGCCCCACAGAGCGGAGCCGTAGCGCTGAACAAGAGGCAGCCAGTCAGGGGCAGGAGCACCAACCCCGTAGACCAAACGAACCGTGTCAGTGAGCTGAGCAAAGCACTGACCAGGGGGGTGAAACCGGCCACAAGGGTGGCCACGACGAGTGCCTGTCAGAACCTGGTAGGTGCAGGGAGTGTAAGCAGCACCGCGCTGGGTCTGACGCAGCCCCGACCCTGGAGCCAGCTGCTGCCGCTGCTGCTGCTGAGGCTGCTGGGAGGAGAGGGGCTGCTGGTGCTGCAGAAGCTGCTGCTGACGCTGAGCCTGGTACCACGCCGCTGCTCCACCAACCGGGGCAGGAAGTACAGGAGGCGACTGACGAACTCGGGCGTCGCCACCACTAGCAGGCGCAGTGGAGTCACCAGTCACTGCACGAGGCGCCTCTCCAGGCCCTGAACCTCCACCGCCGCCAGGCGCAACGCCACCTCCACTACCTCCGCCTCCACCTCCACTACCACCACCAGAACCGCCTTTCTTGCCACTCCTACCGCGGGACCGCGACGCAGTCGTAACAGCAGCTGCAGTCGCGTCAGTAGCGGCAGTGGCAAGTGAGGCAGTAAAGGTGGGTAACTGCGGGACTGTGCACCCGTGGAAGAGTGGGGGGGGCACAGCACCAGAGGCAGCGGCTACCGAGCGAAGGTTGCTCTCGACGTCCTTGAGTGCAGACTCAAGGACATCGACGGTGAGCTCACTAGGGTGCTTCAGCAGAAGCGCGTCGCGAACGGAGGCAAGGCGGTCAGGGAGGCTAGTGGCGATGAAATAGATAGTAATCGCCATAGGGGGAGGAAGCAGTGCAAGCTGTGCCTCAGTGCAAGCAGCGCGGTAACTAGCGTCGAGCGAGCGGAGGTGAGCGATCAAGTCAGCAGAGCGCTCAAACGAGGCGAGATCAGGAAACAGGAACGGGAGGAAAAGACGGCCAAGAGAGACAGTAGCGGGAGTAGAGTAGCGGGCCTTAATCGCAGTGAGGTACGCAGCAGCGGTGCGAACCTGAGTGAAGTGGACCTCCTCTGACTCAGGGAGGAGGCTGCTGAGTGCGATGCAGGCCGCAGCGTCACGCGACGTCCAAGCCGTCCTGTCAGCGCGCTGACGGGCAAAGCGAGCCGTAGCAGCATCGTCAGGGGCAGGACCTAAAGCGGCAGGCTCGGGGGGCTCGGGGAGGTCACCAGTAGCGTGCGACCAGAGGGTCTCGCCCCCCTGGACTTGACTCTCTAACAGACGGCGAGCGCGAAGAAGCCAGACGGAAAAATCAATAGGTCTACCGTCAGCGTCGAAACGAAGAACTCGCGGAGTCGCCATAGCGAGAACGAACGCGAACGAGCAGGCGAGTAACAGCAGGAGGTAAGAGGCAAATTAGGGTTCAGGTGGGGGGACTTAGTCGCAGCGGAAGAACGGGCCAGGGCGTAGGGTCGACGGGACGGGGGAAAGGGCGGGCACGATGCGACGGGGCAGGGCGACGCGACGGGGCAGGGCGACGCGACGGAGCAGAGGCGACGGGACGGGGAAGGGCGACGGGGCAGGGCGACGCGACGGGGCAGGGCGACGGGACGGGGAAGGGCGACGGGACGGGGCAGGGCGACGGGACGGGGCAGGGCGACGCGACGGGGCAGGGCGACGGGACGGGGAAGGGCGACGGGACGGGGCAGGGCGACGGGACGGGGAAGGGCGACGCGACGGGGCAGGGCGACGGGACGGGGAAGGGCGACGGGACGGGGCAGGGCGACGGGACGGGGCAGGGCGACGGGACGGGGCAGGGCGACGGGACGGGGCAGGGCGACGGGACGGGGGGAAAGGGCGCGACGCGACGGGGGGAAAGGGCGCGACGCGACGGGGGGAAAGAGCGCGACGCGACGGGGGGAAAAGGGCGCGACTCGACTGGGGGGAAAGGGACGCGACGAGGGGGAAAGGGCGGGCAGGACGCGACGCTAGGAGTGGCGCTAGGCGCGGCACTACGCGCGGTAACAACGGAACCGGAACGAATGAGAGCTAGGATCAGGCTCGGGAGGCTCGAACGGAGAACGGAGGAACGGGATCCCACAGGATCCTAACCTAACTGATACCATGTCAGAATGAAGAATGGAATGGTGCATTGATGTTGGTTGGGGTACATATAGCTAACCCTAAGTTTTGTACCCCCTAAGACAAACCTCACTATAGGCTACAACATTTGACATCTCGTGCCAGCGCATTTGCATTGTGGTCGTAGTGCCCCCCGCTCCCAACACGCAGCGCCTTTCGGTTCTCAATGCACTGCACGGTGATGGGGTTGACTTTTGACTCTGCAGGATTACAGTAGGTTGACTTTTGACTGAAATTTTTTTTCGTCTAATGTATCAGACTAGAAAAATGTTTTCAGCTTATAATGCAGACCATGAAAATTTCGTCGTCCGAGCATAAGACGGGGGAAAATTTTTCCAGGCTACTGTCAGACAGCCCCAAATCCTAGCGGAGGTCGTCATCGCCCGGATATAAGACATATATGTCTTATCTCGTACACGGGCAAAAATGCTTGAGTTATCTTGTAAACGGGATGCTTTAGGGTGTCTTATAAGTCTTATAAATGGAAACTTTTTAAACTACTTAGAAATATTTTCCGTACTTCTTGAAAAAGAGTTCCTCATAATGAGTGTGGATGTTGCGAAGGTGCCACTTCGGCAACCACTGCCCGGGACGCCACGTCATGGAGAACACCTGCAGAGGCAAATTTGGTAGGTCCTGGGTCAGCGCGTGGAGAAATTCGCGCTTCGCAAGGGTAAAAATGTACGCGTTATTTCAACTTTCGCTATAATGTATTGAAGTTTCGATTATAAGACACATATGTCTTATCTCGTACACACAAATAGGTGTCTTATAATGAGGCTAGCCTGTTTATAAGAGACACCCGTATAGTAGACAACCCCTGTCTACTATTCAACACTGTCTTATATCCGGGCGTTTACGGTAGACCCGGGGGTCCACAACTGGAGGGGGTTTATATTTGGGGTATTACAGGGCAGAGAGAATGGAATGTTACCCCCCTGTTTGCCCTCATGAGGTCACTCATGCTGTTCTTGACAGTTCAATCAAAAGTTATGTTCTCCAATTGTGTCCTTTTTTGTAACAACCTAACTGGCCTGCGTCGGATGCTGGAGAGACGCTTATTTCACCAAGGTAAAAACGTTTGCAAGTCCTTGACAATCAGGGCGAAATCTGGACCGCTCGCCAAACGCAGCCAACAGCGAGGGAAATCAGGTACTCATCAAGAGGAGTTCTGGAAAGAAGGCATGTGCTGTGCAGTGCAGTTCAAGGCAAAGTGAGCTTTTCTGTTTCATCTGTGCCCTGGCTCTCTCTACCCCCATTCCCACCACCATCCACCTCTTGACTCGACCACTCTGAAGCACCTTCCTCATTCCTGTCATGACCGGGCCCTTGTTCCTGCTTCTCCACATGACCATCCCCCTGCTTCTCCTGCTTTTCCTCTTGATCCTGCTCCTGCTGATCCAAATACCCCGGCGCTGACTGGTCAATGGGACCAAGCGCTTCCAGGTGAAAGTTGACGGCTCCAGAAAGTACCGAAGCAGCAGCTGCAACAGAGGCCGGGTCAACAACAGCAGGGAAGACAGGCGAAGGGGCAGCAGAGGCAGCAGCAGGTGGTTTGGCAGGTGGGCGTGCTCCTTCATTCTTCCCTGCTACTGCGACCCCTCCTACAATACCCCCTGCCACAGTATCCCTCGCTACAGCAGCTTCCCCTACAGTCACCCCAGGCACAGCATCCATTGGGCTGCAGCTGTCAACCTGAACCTCGCCTTCCTCCACCCCATGTGCATCACTTCTGTTACACGCACCATCACGACCGGCATTACAACCGGTGCCATGAGCATTACCACAATCACCAACCAGCAGGATTAGCAGGAGCGAAATCAACAACAGGAGCACCAGAATTCCCTGCAGAGGAGGCAGCAGCCGTAGTGGTGGCGGCAGCAAGAGCATCACCACTATCAGTTCTAGAATATTCCTCTGTCTCGTTCGGTACCCTGCTTGCAAGACCACCAGTCCTTTCATGCCTGTTCTGAGATGTCTCAAGACTCATGTTGAGAGCACTCAAAACGCCACCAGCAGTACCGGGTGCTGCACACTCCCTGCTGCCCTCCGCGCCTGCACCCACCGCCTCCCCTGCTTCAATCGAGACAGCCGCGTTCTTGCTACAGACCTTCCCTTCCTCTATCTTCCCCTTCCTAGTGCTCTCCTCCTCACTTTCCTCTCGCCTCTCTCTCTCTGCAACACCCTCCCCTTCCTCCGCCGACACACCCCCATGCTTGCTACACCCACCTGCTTCCTCTTCCTCCCTCCCATACTCACTCAACTCCTCTTCTCCCTCCTCCCTGCCATCTGCCATACAGCCATTGCCCTCCTCCTGTCTCTGAGTCTTACCCAACAACTCTTCTCCCTCCACCCTCCTCCCCTTCTCCGCGCACCCCTCTCTTTCCTCCTCATTATTACTCACATATTCAGGCTCTGCACCAAATGGCAACCCTCCGTACTCCCCCTCCTTCCCTTCAGGCCCGCCCTCATGCCTCTCCTCTTGCTCACCACACTCCTCTGTGTGCTTCCCACGATAAAAGTCCATTCCTCCTCCTCCTCCTCCTCCTCCTCCTCCTCCTCCTCCTCCTCCTCCTCCTCCTCCTCCTCCTCCTCCTCCTCCTCCTCCTCCACTCTGGCAGCACGAAATCATTGCAAAATCTGCAGGAGCAGCTGGATCTGCAACATCAGCACGTGGAGGAGGAGCCACGTCAGCAGCTAGTGGAGCAGCTGTCAGTATCGCAAGTGGATGAGGCAAATCTGAAGAAGGCTTATCTGAGAAAGGAATGTGTGGGGAAGGATTATTTGCTAGAGGCTTATCTGAGGATGGGTTATCTGGAAGAGGCTTGTGTGGGGAAGGCAGAGCACAGAGGGGCTGGGAAGGTAAATGCTCCTCTGATGCTGACGTGGAGTCTCTAAAGCCAGCTGGCGACTGGGAGCTCTTGAGGTTTGCCCGAGCTGCAGCCTTAATAGGCGACTGGAAGGACTTGAGAGGCGACTGGGAGGACTTGAGAGGCGACTGGGAGGACTTGAGAGAAGGCTCCTCCGAAGGAGAGGAGGTGATCACTATCGGCAAGGTTAGGGATCCGCCTCTTGCTTCCCTGCTCCTGGACAGGGGAGGTACGGCAGGAGGAAGAGAGGAGGCAGCAAGTAGAGCAGTATGAAGAGCAGGTGCAGCGGCATTAGCAGCGCATGCAGCCCTTGCTCCGTTGCTCTCCACGTCATTGTGAAGCCTTGGGTGCTTTGCAGGCACGGCAGCAGCACATCCGCCCTCATGTGCACCGACATCTAGAACGTCCAGTGGCCTCCTCTTCCGCCCCCCTGGCCCCACACACCCACCACCTTGCATGGCAGCACTACCAGCAGCACCAGTGACAGCACAAACAGCACCACCAAGAGCAGCACAAGTAGCAGCAGCACCAGCAGCACCAGTGGCAGCAGCACCAGCACCAGCGGCAGCAGCACCAGCACCAGCGGCAGCACTAACAGCAGCAGCAGCAGCAGCAGCAGCAGCAGCAGCAGCAGCAGCAGCAGCAGCAGCAGCAGCAGCAGCAGCAGCAGCAGCAGCAGCAGCAGCAGCAGCAGCACCAGTAGCAGCAGTACCAGCAGCAGCAGAAAGAGCACCAGCAGCAGCAGCAGCACTAACTGCACCAACAGCAGCACTGACAGAAGCAGTAGCACAAGCACCAGTACCAGCAGGAGCAGTAGTAGCACCCGCGACACTAGCAACACCAGCAACACCAGCAGCTGCAGCACCAGCAGCACCAGTAGCAGCAGTAGCAGCAGCACCAGTAGCAACAGCACCAGTAGCAGCAGCACCAGTAGCAACAGCACCAGTAGCAGCACCAGTAGCAGCAGCACCAGGAGCAGCACCAGTAGCAGCAGCACCAGTCGCAGCAGCACCAGTAGCAACAGCAGCAGCACCAGTAGCAACAGCAGCATGAGGAATATCGAGACCCACACATTTCCTCTTCTTCGCCTCTGGCTCTAATCTCCCTGTCCCTCGTTCTCTCTCCTCCACTCCTTTCGCTTTCAAAACACCACCTTCCATGTCACCACCTTCCATGTCACCACCTTCCATGTCACCACCTTCCATGTCACCACCTTCCATGTCACCACCTTCCATGTCACCACCTTCCACGTCACCACCTTCCGCAAGTCCACCCTGAGTCACTTTCGGAATGTGAATGTCCTGCAACTGCTGCTCACACTCTGGTTGCCGCTGCTGCCACTGCCTCTCCGGCTGCTGTTGCTCCTCGTCAAAACCAACAGCCACACAGGCAGCACGAGCAGCAATTGCTCCTAAACCACCACCTCCAGCTGCCCTGGCCACAGCACCATGGGCTGCTGCTGCACACCCATGAGAGCCTACGCACCCCACACCGTCAGCCCGGGAATGGGTGCAGCGCTCTTTGGGGGCTTCTTCAATGGCTTCCCTGCTCTCGTGCTCTGACGCATGGCTTGGCCCACCACACGTGTTGCTTGAGGCAGGCTGTGCGTGCGAGCAAGCATCTTCTTTCTGAGTCCCCGCAGCAGCAAATGCATGTAGGGGTACAACGGCAGGTGAAGGGCCGGAGAGGAATGCGACAGGAGTGCCAAGGGAAAAGGACAAGCGGTGGCGCGGCAAGGAGGGGCGCAGAAGCAGCGCAGCAGCAGCAACAGCAGGAGGAGGAGGAAGAGGAGGTGGGTTCCTGAGAGGCTGGTGTGGGGTCGATTCAAGAGGAAGGTTTTCACGAGGAGAGATTTCAAGAGGAGGGTTTTCAAGAGGAGGGTTTTCAAGAGGAGGTTTCTCAAGAAGATGGTTTTCAAGTGGCAACTTCTGGCTGCTTTCACTCCCTTCTCCTCCCTCTCCTCTCTCTCCTCCCTCTCCTCCCCCCCCTCCCTTCCTCTCCCTCCTCTCTCTCCTCCCTCCCCTCCCTCTCTCTCCCTCCTCCCTCTCCTCCCTCTCCTCCCTCTCCACCCTCTCCTCTATTTCCTCCCTCTCCTTTCTCTCCTTCCCCTCCTCCCTCCCCTCCAATTCCTCTCCCTCCGCCCTCTCCTCCCTCCCCTCCCTCTTCTCTCCCTCCTCCCTCTCCTCCTCCCTCCCTCTCCCTCTCCTCCCTCCCCCCTCCTCCCTCCCCTACCTCTCCCCCCTCTCCTCCCTCTCCTCCCCTCCCTTTCTCTTCTCCTCCCTTTCCAATCCATTCCCCCAAACCTTCCTTTTCTCTGCTCTCGAATCCCCTTTCAACTTCTCTTCCCTCTCTGTCCACACTCACCTCTCCAACCTCTCGTCCTTCTCTCACATCGCCCCCCCCTCGTTCCTCATCGCTTCCCTCTCCCCCTCTCCTCTTTTCCCACTCGCTTTCCTCACCCTGCTCTCTTCCTTCTCCCACTGTCCTCTCCCCCCTCGCTCCCCCGTCCCCACCTACTCCACCGACCTTTTCCTCTTGCTCTCCGACCGCCTCACCTGCACCTCCCTCCTCTCTACCATCTTGCCTGTCCGCCACAACTGTCCACTCCTTTCCCTCCCCCAGCTCTGCCCCTTTCCCCTCCTCTCCCGCCTCTCCATCCGCTCCCGCCTTGCTACCATGTCCTCTGCCTGCCACAACTCTCTCCTCATTTCCATCTCCGCCCTCTCCCTCTTCTGCCCCATCTCCCTCCTCTCCCCTCTCGCTCGCACCTCTGACATTATCCCTACATGTAACCCCTACCCCAGGCCCCCCTCGGATCAGGCCTGCCAGGCGTGGCAAGGGCACTATGGCTGGCGTGCACCTGAGGTGCTGCACAGATTGACTATCGTTTGTCACCGGCACTCTCTCACTCCCGACACTCGCTCCTCCACTCTCTTCGTCTTCCCCACACGCTATCTCCTCTTCACCCCTCACCTCCTCGCCCCCACCCCTCACGTCCTCTTCCCCACCCCTCTCGTCCTCTCCTCTTGCTACAGTTCCTGCTGCTGTTGCGGCAGCACCGGCATGATCATTCATACTAGAGTCCTCTGGCCTTGCTGCTGCCAGTGCCACCGCGACTGATGCTGGAGCGCCAGTAGGAAGAGGCACGGTGACATGAGGAAGAACAGCAGGAGGGGAAACAACCGCAGTGCCTCCTTCAACCTCAGAATCTAATGGTCTTGCTGCTGTTGCTGCTGCGTTTGGTAGTGCTGCTGCTTGTATTGCTGCTATCGGTACTGCTACTGCGGGTAGTGCCTCTGATGCCGAAACCTCTGCGTCCCTGTTGGCCTCCGCTCCACTTTCTGTTTCTGTAGCTGTTCCTACTGCAGCCCCTGCACGGCCGAAACCATCCCTTGTGCGCGCTACTGCAGGTGCTCCCACTGAACCCCCTGAACAAGGTGAATCGCCTCCCGTCCCCCCTACTCCATGTGCTCCTTGTGCATCACCTGCATGGGGAAGTTCACCCCCTGTTCCACCAATCAAAGTCGCCCCTGCTCGCACTCCCTCTTTCAAACCTGCAGCACTTGCAGCACCAGCAGCAACAGCAGCAGCAGCAGCAGCCGCAGCAGCAACAACCATGGTGTCTGCAGCAGCAACCGTGATGCCAATCCTTTCACCTAACACCGAAGAAGGACCATCGACAGAAGCATCAGCAGCACCATCACTAGCATCACAAGCACCATCACAAGCATCAGCAGCACCATCACAAGCATCAGCAGCACCATCACAAGCATCACAAGCACCATCACAAGCATCACAAGCACCATCACCAGAAGCATCAACACCACCAGCACCCGCACCAGCAGCACCACCGGCAGCACCAGCAGCAGCAGCAGCACCACCACCACCACCACCTACAGCACCAACAGCAGCAGCAACAGCAGAAGCAGCAGCACCAGCAGCAGCAGCAGCGGCAGCAGCAGCAGCACCAGCAGCAGCAGCAGCACCAGCAGCAGCACAAATAGCACCAGCAGCAGCAGCACGGGCGTGGCGATCGAGAGATGCAACTGCCACAGGTACATGCTGTGTGCCCAGCCCTGTGCTCAAAGCCTGCTGGGTGTTGTTGCGCAGTGCATCGCTGGGTGTTGAACTTCTGGGCGGTGCAGTGCTGGGCAGTGCTTCAGAGGTGTGTGCCTTTGGAGGTGCCATGAGCCCCTCGATGAACCATGATAGCGGCCTGCACTCATGCGGAGGTGGCACATACACGGCCGTGCATGCACGCATGCATGGATGCACATGTGTGCACGCACACATGCACACACACATGCAGATACATGCACACACACATGCAGATACGAAACACACATGCAGATACACGCACACACATGCAGATACATGCGCACACACATGCAGATACACGCACACACACATGCAGATACACGCACACACACATGCAGATACACGCACACACACATGCAGATACACGCACACACATGCAGATACACGCACACACACATGGAGATACACGCACACACACATGCAGATACACGCACACACACATGCAGATACACGCACACACACATGCAGATACACGCACACACATGCAGATACACGCACACACACATGCAGATACACGCACACACACATGCAGATACACGCACACACACATGCAGATACACGCACACACACATGCAGATACACGCACACACATGCAGATACACGCACACACATGCAGATACACGCACACACACATGCAGATACACGCACACACACATGCAGATACACGCACACACACATGCAGATACACGCACACACACATGCAGATACACGCACACACACATGCAGATACACGCATACACACATGCAGACACACGCACACACACATGCAGATACACGCACACACACATGCAGATACACGCACACACATGCAGATACACGCACACACACATGCAGATACACGCACACACACATGCAGATACATGAGCACACACATGCAGATACACGCACACACACATGCAGATACACGCACACACACATGCAGATACACGCACACACACATGCAGATACACGCACACACATGCAGATACAGGAGCACACACATGCAGATACACGCACACACACATGCAGATACACGCACACACACATGCAGATACACGCACACACACATGCAGATACACGCACACACATGCAGATACATGAGCACACACATGCAGATACACGCACACACATGCAGATACATGAGCACACACATGCAGATAGACGCACACACATGCAGATACACGCACAAACACATGCAGATACACGCACACACATGCAGATACACGCACACACACATGCAGATACACGCACACACATGCAGATACATGAGCACACACATGCAGATACACGCACACACACATGCAGATACACGCACACACACATGCAGATACACGCACACACATGCAGATACACCCACACACACATGCAGATACACGCACACACACATGCAGATACACGCACACACATGCAGATACACGCACACACATGCAGATACATGAGCACACACACATGCAGATACACGCACACACACATGCAGATACACGCACACACACATGCAGATACATGAGCACATAATTGTCATGCTTTTCGCACATGAGAGCTACTGCTGCATGTCACCTCACGTGGGTTGTATCACCGGGATACCCTCACCTCTGGTGGGTTGGGTTGATTGTATCCTCGTCGCCACAGGGGACGAGTAGCAATAGCTTTCACTACAGCTTGAATGCATGCCGATGCCGCCACTACGCTTGAGATTATTCTAACCTGACAGTAGCTTGTGTGTGGCGTGAGCCATTTGCCGTGCATGTTTCCGAGGTGGTGGTGCGGTGCCTGACCTCAGGTGCGTGGTGTCGTGGCCGCCCACCACAGCTTCTATGCGCTGCGCCACTTCCATCTCCATGCGCGCTCTGTTCCGAGGGCGAGCGGGCGAGCAGCAGAGAGTGGAGAGGGGGAGAGAAGAACAGAGCAGGACAGTGTGAGACAGGGACGGACAGGGGACAGGGACGGACAGGGGACAGGGAGGGACAGGGGACAGGGAGGGACAGGGGACAGGGAGGGACAGTGGACAGGGAGGGGCAGGGAGGGACAGGGAAGGGCAGGGAGGGGCAGGGAAGGGACGGGAGGGGCAGGGAAAGACAGGGAAGGGACGGGACAGGGAGGGACAGAAAAGGGACGGGAGTAAAAGGAGGAGCTGCCACTGGTACTGCTGTTGCCGCAGCATCTACTGCTGCTATGGCACTTGTGCTGCCCCAAACCCGCCTCCCATCATGCTCCGCCTCTCATTGTGCCCTCAGTGAGCCCCCCTCCCTTTGTGTTTGCCATGCGGTTGTGCTCCCATTCCAATGGTGCTGTCCCCGTGCCACAGTGCACGCCCTGCAAAGCACCCAGCCCCATGCTACGCCTCACGTTGCTCACATCAGCTGCCGCTCTTGTGCCAGCCGCAGCACCACTGGATCCCCTCCTGCTCCTGCTCCTGCTGCAGCTGCAGCGCCTGCTGTGTGTGCAAGCAGCGAGTCCACCCCGTGTGTGGCGGGTGCACCATCAGCTTCAGCCACCAGCTCCTGCAAGCAACCACACGGAACGAATGCCATGCACATGCTCACCCTCTCACTCTCTTCTCCCTCAGCTCACGCCTCCAGAATTGTCTGCCCACCATCCGGCCCAAAAAGGCCCTCAGTGACGACGTGTGAGAACTCGCTGGTCACTTGGGCAAATTTCCAGCCATCGCAAACCCTAGACCATCTCACGTGAAACTAATAATGTTTCAAAAAATACGTGTCATGAAAACATGTCGCATGTATCGCACACAAGTGTCCAGATTCATGTGTGTGCATTGCCATGCAGACTGGTGTGTCCCATGCTGACATGGTGTCCAGACTTTGATGGCGGACAACCTTCAGAACCGCCATCTCACTCGCCCTCCCCCCCCCCCCAACTCTCTCCCACCATTGACCTTTACGACGCCCTCCTCCCCCTCCATCAGCACTGCCTCACCTCAGCCACGCACATGTTCTCTTCAGCCGCTGCTCTTAGTGTGTGGGCAAGGGCCTGGTGAGGGGACGAGGGGAAGCAGACGACCAAGGACGACAGTAGCATGTTCGAGGGGAACAGAGCAACGGTGAAATCACTCAGCCACACACACACACATGATTGGGGACGGCACATGTGCTGCTCTTAGTGTGGGGTGGGCAGGGATGCAAGAGAAACACGGAGTGCAGGGTGAAAGCAGCAGGAGGAACAATTAGACATGGAGGGAAGAGGGTGGGAAGAGCATGGAGGGAAGAGGGTGGGTGGAGGGAAGTTGGGGCGTGTAAGGAAGAGTGCGACCCCCCATGAGCCATACACCCCTCACCGCATGAACCGTACCCGCAGCCCTAACATCACATCACCCCAGACCTCCCCACTTTGCCGTACTGCAGCTGTGTGTCCAGCTGCGCCAGCAGCCGAACCCAGCGCACACCCTGAACTCCACCCCACCCCACACCCCACCCCACCGGTCCCACCACCCCACCGTGCAGTGCTGCAGCTGCGTGTCCAGGTGCGCCAGCAGCCTGTGGCGAGCTGTGGTGCACGCCGCCATGTGGTGGCCTGCAGGGGGCGAGAGAGGAGGGAGGGGGGTGGGGGAGGGCGAGGGAGCGGATGGGAGGCGTTGAGGATGCATGAGAGAGGACACGGAAGCCCCTGGCGCGCACTGCTGCCCGCTGCTGTGTGATGGCCTGGCCTGCACACGGAGAGGAGGGGAGTTAAGGTGGGAATGGGAGGTTGGAGGTGATGCAGGTGTACGTGATTGTGGAGTGGGAAACGAGAGATGTAAAGTGCACCCAGCAGCCTGTGCTGCATGCTGCCATGACGTGCATGCCGGCAGGTAGGGCAGGGGGGGGAGAGGTATGCTGTGCGGGGGACGGGAGTTGAGGGGGAAGGGGGTTGAGGGAGCGCAGGCTGTGGCAAGCTGTGGTACACGCTCATTTGTGGTGGGCACTGGCGTCCACACAGGGAAACCGACGGGGGGGGGACGGGAGGGATGGGAGAAGGGAAAGAAGGAGGAGGACAGGGGGGGAAGAAGAGATGGGGAAATCAGGAAGGGGGAAGGGGGGAAAGGGGGG